TAGTGCCACTGATTCTTTTATTAGTGTGCAGTCATGAACCTTATTGGCTTGCTACTGACCCCTGCTTTTGGGTTGCTGCCTTTTAAAACAGTAGAACAGCAGGCAAAAAAATCCATTTACTATCATTGCTCAGTTCTATTCTGTTTATATAGCGCCAATTCTCAATGCATGTAATCTCAAGGCACTTTACAAAGACAATTCAATCAAACCATCCAGTCAGATCGAAAAAAAAAAAAAAAAGAACTATCTAAGGAATCACAACCAACTGCATAGTCATTTACTTTGTGGGATTCACTCCTCCTGGTTAAGCATGTACTATATATTTACCTGCCGTGTGTTGTTAACTCTGCAGGAATTCATCTTCCTAAGTATGCATGCAGGTACTGTTGACTGAAAAAAATTAATTTTAACAAAAACAAACCTCTAGCAGAACCAGGATCAGTATGACTAAATATTGAAAAGGCCGAGTCAGTGTTAATAGGCACAGAAGCAGACATACAAAAGTGAAATGGAAGTATTTACCCATAGATATTTCTATATCAAAGAAGGTTGTTGTTATTAGCTTCTTAGCTTCCTAAAGATAATTCCATTACTATCTCTAGGATTATGCAGAAAATATGCTTATCAGCAGTACATGCAAATTAAAGGGGAAAATTGTATTACTTACGTACCAAAAAGCATTGCTGGTGCAGTTTCTGCATATTTATACCATCTTGTAAGTCAGGTACAAACTCATAAAAAAATGTCTGTAGTCAGTGTAGCAACCAGAAAGATAAAATACTTGTTGAATACATCACGTGACGCTATACATACAGCCACTCCCTAATGTGCCTGTGGGTGGCTTTTGGCCTTGAGCTGATCTCATCAGAGGGTGCCCAAACTTCGACACTTAACAGCTACACTCCAGGAAGCTTTCTCAATTCACATTTGAATTGAGAAAGCTTCCTGGAGAGGTGGCGAAACGTCTTCAAATCTTAAAAAACCAAGTCCAGTGGATATTTTTTGAATTTTTACGGAAAATATCTTGAAAACCAAGTCCAGTGGATATTTTTTGAATTTTTACGGAATGACTATGACCTGGATGACTGAGAACCTTCATCAGCATACTTAACAGCTACACCCCCCAGCTGGCCAGTCAGCAGTGGTGGCCTGGTCACTGCCCATCATCTCTAGGCCTCCAGCCCCCCCTCCTCTATCTTAAACAACAACCAGCATGAGGCTCTCTCTGCTGCCTCCCCAATCATGCACACAGCTGGCTTCCTCTCCTTGCCAGATATGCCAAGTGCAGTGAGCACAGACCACATTGACTGTGCTGGGAATCCTCTGCACCCGACCTCCACTGGAAACAGCCA